CCTAGTTTAAATTATAAATACTCAAAGCTAACGCGAACTGTGTCCAAAATGTCACTATTCCCTAACTTCTTTCCCTAAATGCCACGCCAACAATGTTAATTTCCAATATGCCACGTGGACAAGTTTGCTGGACATTGTAACGAACTCAATTTGCTGTTATGTCACGTTCCTGGTGGACACCAAGTTCGCTACTCCAGGTAGCGAACTTGGTTGTAATTAATGCATCTGCACGTTTCCACCTGCCACGATAACACGTGGCAGACATGGGCAGCGAACTTCGTTGCATGTCTGCCACGTTGCGTGGCAGGTGAAAACGTGCAGTTGCATTAATTGCAACCAAGTTCGCTACAATGCCCAGCAAACTTGCCTACGTGGCATATTAGAAATTAACACTGTTGGCGTGACATTTAGAAAAAAAATTGAGAAACAGTGGCATTTTGATCACTGTTCATGATTGAGATAAAATGCTCATAGATGCAAAGTAGTCCAACAAAATCATTTTAAATTGTTTAAAAGGTGGTTTTTTTCTTTTTGCATTTGAATAGTCTAAAATTATAATTTTGCAATATTTTAATATTATTTTCTCATGTACATTTTATTAATACAAGAAAAAAAAACAATGCACAATATAAAGGATATTATAATAAATTTCATATCACCTTATCCAATATTTAATTGTGACAAATAATTCACAATATAAATTTATGAGTCAATTGTTTATCGTGTATTTATCCTATGCCACAATGGACATCAAACGCAACCTACTATACACTTTTTTAAAACTATTTGTAATGAAATTACAGTAGCAATTGTTAAATCTCTTATCAGTTGTGACTTTTTTTTTTGGTAATTTCATTTGTGACTTTTAATTACAATACGACAGTGTCTTTGCTATTTTTTTTTCTTTCTAAAAAGTTAAAAAATATTAAATATGAAAAATATTTAATAAATAGTTTCACTTTTCACATTTCGTCACAAGTATATGGAAACGTTATATTTCAACTTATAAATAAATTGGAAAAATAAATATAATTCAATGAATAATGTCATATTAATTTTTTTAAATTACTATATCTTATAATCTCTCTATCTTACTTAATAATAACAAAAACAACAAAATCTTATTTAACAATAAAATAGAAGCAAAGGAAAAAAAAGTTTTTAACGAGAAATGATATCGATATTTTTCAAGCACATCAATTTTATTTGAATTTTTAAAAAATTGCATTAATCGTAATATTCAATATCTTTCTTATCACATGATGTAAATTTATCAGTATTATATGTGATTTTGAGCTTTGCAATTATATTATAATATAAAAATTAATATAATATCGAATAAATAAAACAAAAATGGAAAAAACTATTCTCATATTACATGTGATAAGTTTTCTTTCTTACATACCATTCGATAATTGTATCACTTTTTTATTTTATTTATATTTTATTTTTTAGGTGATACAGCCTACACATTTATCTATATGACATGAGATAATTTATCTTCTTCTTTTATCATTATATTCATAAAACCCAACAAAAATATATCGATTTAAGGTTTGTAACGGTATAATAAATAAAGGGTTTATGTTTATCATGTAACATGATATAACATCACTTTCCTACACACACATTAAAGAGGTGGAGTCCATATATTTTTCTTTATCTTTCATCATTTCACTTTCTCTCTCCATTTTTTTATGCGCGTTGAAAACAACACTTAAATCATGTAACATAACACTAATAAAACCCATAAATAAAATTATCTCCTATTCGGTCTCTCTTTTCTTCATATATCACCATATGAGCCCACGTGTTCTATGTGCGTATAATAAATTATGTTATGCAACCGCTTTTAGGGTTTGTCTCTCTTTGTTCTATAAATGGTATCTTTCTCTGCTATTTTGATTTTACGCGGCGGAATGTTGGGGTTTTGATTTTAGGGTTCCTTTTAATTTATTTATTTGGATTTTATGAATGATCGGCGATAAGGTAATTTGGGGGTTTAGGGTAGTGGCTATTAAGGCGGCTTAATAAGGTTAAATTATTAGTCTTTCGTCCAACTCTGTTGTGGGTTTTGACGTTCACTGTCTAGAAGTTCTGCAATGGATTTGTTCTGCCCTATATTTTGTTTCGGTGTTTGTCATTTACTTTTTGGTTTTGGGTATTTTTATATTTAGTGATGGAAAATTTGGAATGCAAGAGGTTTTGACGTTGATTGCGCGTGCAAGGATTTCTGTTGCATCTCCCAGCTAACCAATAATTTCTGTTGTGGGTTTTGACGTTGATTGCCTGGAACATCTGCGATGGATTCGTTCTGTTCTAGTTTTTGTTTCGGTGTTTGTCATTTACTTCATATTTTTATGTTTGGTGATGGAAAATTCGGATTGAAAGAGGTTCTGGGTCTGTTACGGGAATGATTATGCGGCTTGTTGTTTATTGTTGAGTTAATGGAAGAAACCATGAGATATGGAGGATTTTATTGATACCACGGTACGTACAAAGGTTTTTCTTGGGTTTTCTTACCTATCTTGGCTATTTTTGTAACACAAGGATGGCAAAACAAAGAGATGGTAATACAAAAAGAAAGAAAAAATGGTGGCTTTACTGAGGAAGCCTGACCTCTTGCTTGCACACAGTGCCAAACTAATATTTTCAACTGATATGTTTTATTAATCCAAACTCTAATTAAATAGACAATTACACATGAAAGCCATAATGCATGAAAATAGGAACCACCTAAAACTATGTATACCCACTTTGCTAGGCTTTGGAAACTGCAAGACTTATTCAAATAAATTCAAATACTAGTCTAGTAACTAATTAGCAACAATAACGAAATAATAAAATAAAACAAAATAAAAACTAAAAAATTCGTAACATTCCCTCTCTCTAAAAATTACTCTTGTCTCCAAGAGTAATTCCTTTTATTTTTTTATTCTATTTTTCCCTATCGGGCGGCTCCTCTTCGAGCTCCATCTCGGCTTCTCCGTCGCTACCCTCCATGACAGCGTGAATTGCGAATAACTTCTTACAACGGTGACCCGGTACATAAGTCTCATTACAACGAAAGCATAAGCCATTTCGTCTTTGTTCCGAGATTTCATCAAAGGATAATCGTTTGACCGGTGGATTTTCGCTCCGGGTTGGGTTATTCATGAGGGAAAGGGTTGAACTTGTGCTATTTGGGGAGATCTGGCTATTTCGTGCCTCATACAATTTGGCAAGCCCAATAGCATTAGATAAGGAAGTGGGTCGATTTGCTTGCACATCCGCCCGAAGAGTCTCAGAGAGCCCACTTATGAAGCAACTTACTTGCCTTGACACCTCCAATCGTCCAACCTTGGAGAGCAATTTCTCAAATTGACTTTGGTATTCTTGCACCGTACCATGTTGCTCCAACTTGGTCAATTCCCCAAAGAAATCAACAAATTGATTGGCACCGTAGCGTTGCAGTATTTCTTTCCGAAACTCCAACCAAGTGATATGGGGATGGTCTTGGATGAGTAATTGGTACCACAACTGAGCATCTCCTGTGAAATGGAAAGATGCTAGTGAAACTCTTTCTTCTTCTGGGGTGTGATGATATTGGAAAAATTGTTCAGCTCGACATAGCCAACTAGTTGGGTCTTCATTGTCATTGAATCGCGGAAAATCCAACTTGACCACCTTGGGAGCGTATGTTGCATGCGATTCTGAAGCATTATGGGAGCTGCTTCCAGAATTATTCCCTTTTCGATGTGTTGGTGTGGTGACAATAACATCCAACCTATTGGAAAGTTGAGCGAACATCTCCTTAAATTGTTCTGACAAGGACTGCATTGCATTTTCCAATCTCTCCACACGTTCATCCATGCCTGTGCTCTGATACCAAGCTGGTACGTACAAAGATTTTTCTTGGGTTTTCTTACCTATCTTGGCTATTTTTGTAACACAAGGATGGCAAAACAAAGAGATGGCAATACAAAAATAAAGAAAAAATGGTGGCTTTACTGAGGAAGCCTGACCTCTTGCTTGCACACAGTGCCAAACTAATATTTTCAACTGATATGTTTTATTAATCCAAACTCTAATTAAATAGACAATTACACATGAAAGCCATAATGCATGAAAATAGGAACCACCTAAAACTACCTATACCCACTTTGCTAGGCTTTGGAAACTGCCAAGACTTATTCAAATAAATTCAAATACTAGTCTAGTAACTAATTAGCAACAATAACGAAATAATAAAATAAAACAAAATAAAAACTAAAAAATTCGTAACATACCATAGAGTGACTGATTTGGGATGGTACTTGAATGTTTGTTATTTTAGAGGAACACCATGTGTGTTGGGATGGTACTGATATGGAGCACTATATTTGGGACAACATGTGTGTATTGGCTAGCTGGAGATGCAACAGAAATACTTGTAGGGTTTTTTGCACAGAGAAACACCATTACCATCTGCCCCTTATTATAATGCCAAGAATGCTTACTGTTATCCAAGGAAACCTCATTCATACCCTGAGAAGAAATTGTGTGGGTTCCTTTGATATTAATCATTTTGGAGTACTTAAACTAAATCTTTGACAACAGGTAATCACTGGGATTGCACTTCCAGTTGGATTGGACAACTGGCAGCACTGATGGGACAGTTCGGACGTGGGACTGTCATCACTGGTCAATGCGCTAATGTGATAAATCTTGGTGCCGGAGGTGGCTCTTTGATCACTGAGTGCCCATGGGTTTTAGTTGGTGTGCGGAATGCTGTCATATTGGAGCATTACATGTAAGCTGATCATGTGGTCTGCCTTATTGTGAAGGCTTGGAATATTCAGACTGGCTGAGAGTTTACTCTTAATGAACCTAAGGGGCAAGTCCTTGACATGATTGTTGGCAATGATGCACTGTTGGCTGGAGCAGAGGTAACTTCCCATACAGTGGTTTATGGTTGTTATTTAATACTATTTAGACTTTTTTTTTTTTTTTTTTTCTGTAATCTTCACTGGTCCAGAGATTGGACAATTTTAAAACCATCTGATGGTCAGTTCTTCATACTGACATAGACATTGCCAAAATTTTCTTAGTCTTTCTGCTGTGTAACATTGAAACCAAAAATATTGTGTGTTTTTTGGGTCATGTTTTTTTTATTATGAATCTTAGGCGGTATACTTTTTTTCTATCTTAGCTACTCAACTACATGTTGCTTTTTTCTACATGGTAATTTTTCTGAAAGGATTATTTTTTATCTTATTTTCTTCATGTTTGGGACCTTGATACATTAGAGTGTAAAATGACACTCTATGGGCATACTGACATAGTCACATCCCTTATTTGTTGGGACAATTATTTGTTATCAAGTTCATATGACTGCACCATTAAGGACTGGGATGCCACCGAAGAGGGAACTTTGAAAGTGACATATACATACAAAGAGGAAAATGTAAGTTGCGTAACCACTATAACATGTGTGCATAAAGTAAAATTTTCATTTTATGTCAAATGTCATTTGGTTATATTTTCATTCGTAGAAATCTAGTTGTTACTTTTTATAATTGGTCAAGGATTTAGTTGATTCACCTTTTTCCATATTTTCTATTTATATTATAGGGTGTTCTTGCACCTAGTGGGATGACTGATGCAGAAGACAAGCATAGACTGTTCTGCTCTTGCAGAGACACTTCGGTTCGCCTGTATGATTTGCCATCGTATGTTTTTAACAAAAACAAATGAATTAGTTGTTGCTCTAAAGATGAATAGAACAATTTGTTACTTAGCTTTCGATTATGGACAGCATTTGCTGAGCTCTAGTGGTGATGCCCAGAGGCATCGCAAGTATCTGAGAACAATGTCTCGCATAAACTAGGGGAACAATTTGTAGCTGGTTCGAGATAGTGGAATCCTGAATATTTACAATAGAGAGGAATTTCGTGAGGGCATGAGGAAGCCTGATTATCAAGGCCATTGATAATTTCTCTACTCTAGTGGATTTTATGAGAAATAGTCATGATTCTCAAATATTAGCAATCTGTTCAAGCATGCAGAAGGGCAGTTTAAAATTGATACTGAATTTGTTGCAATGCAACTTTTGGTTACCCTTATCCATCATGGCATATCTTTTGTTGAGCCAGTATGCTTCAGAATTCTGGTTTGATTTTTAGGAATGGGTAAAAGGGAATTGTGTAAAAGTATTAAAAAAAGGAAAAGACAATTATAAAGGACTTGAATAATTTGTATAGGGTCATAAATTGAAATCTGAGTGTTCGTCCATGTAAAAAAGAAGCGTAGAAAACTAATTGTAAGAGTAACGGTTTTGCTATGCTAATGTATGAAATGATTTTGCTAAGTTCAACTTAGTTGCCATTATATATCATGACAATTTTTTTTTTCTTGAGCAAGTATGCTGAAGATTTTTTTGTGTGAATTTTAGGGAGATTCCTTATCTTTGCTAATAAGCAATGTTGAAAGTGAGTTTGTTTTATATCTTTAGGTATGAGATTATATTTTATTTGGGATTTTAAAAGTGTTCCTCATCATAAGTTATTTCCCAAGCTAAAAGAACTGTTGTAGAGGAAGTTTCACTTCCTTATGCAGATCAAAGAAAAATATACTATCTGTCAGCATTAATTGTGAATTATCGACAAATCTGTAAGAACTGAATTTTGTCTCTTGCATAATGATATTATGACCCAAAACAACTAGGAGAAAAAATAAATACTCAGGTTTTCGTATTGCATGATGTAATTGATATTTTTCCACTAATATTTTGGATTCAGAATTTTTAAGCCAAATTTATTTTAAATTAATAAAACTAGTTTACAAATAAGAAGCTAAGCTACTATATTGATCGCATTCAAACATGCTCTTTCTAGTCGTCTAAACAACTTACTTGAGACTTGGCTTTATGATCCAGGAAAACAAAAGAAAATTCTGAGTAACGTTATAACGAGGAAAAAGCAAAAAATATTACAAAGATCATAAAGTGCTTAGTAGTGTCAACTGAAGCTAATTTAAATTGAAAATCTAATCAAAACTGAATAAGGTTTCTAGCACCACAATCAACACCTATCATTTGATAAATTTGTCTACTTCATATGTCGATCTCGGGGAAGGAAAATTAAAAAAAGTTTATAAAAAAGTACAAAGGTAAACCAAAAATGGCTAGAAGTTATTAATGTAAACCAACAAACCGACGACATATGCATTGGTCTTGTATTTACTCAAGGAAAATTGTTCATTCATTAGCAAATTATTATTTTCCTTAAATTTTGCTTGCAAGATTTCTTTCTTGCTGATTAAATAAAGAGTATATATCTCTTGAGTCATCAACTGATATATTGAAATTTCATAGAAAGGCAAAGGTAGTGGCAATTTGGAACCTCAAAGTTCTTCAGCCACTTGCTGGATGGATGGTCTGGACTTTGTTACCACAAGCACTATGTCTTGAGCATCCTTTGGAGAAACAGAAAGGGGAAAACGTGAATCTAAGAGATCTTTCAACAACATATTTTGAGTAGATGAGTTAAACAAATATGAGATTAGCTCTCTAATGCATTATTGCTTGTTTCCTTAGCATTGCTGTTCTGTACTTTTGTACTCTTTTCTTTCTCACTTTTGCCACTTGAACAAGGTTTTAAGATTTGTTGGGCTGTTGAAATTGATTGTTGTTACTATTCCATATCTAGTATTCAAGAACAAGTTAAAACGCTAGGGTTTATAATCTCCCTTTCCTTGAATAGTAGAATCCCTCCTATCATTATTTAGACAGCTAAGATGATTCAGCAATAAAAGAGGTGTGGTTTTCTGTTAACTCTAAAGAAACATGAACTAAAATAAGCTATTATATTTTGATCGCACTCAAAATTTCTCTTTCTTGTGTTTTTACTTTGGTTTTGGTTAGTCTCTTTTGTTGTTCATAACTAATCTAAAACCTGGGCTTTGTTATCCTTTAAGGAAACAAGCAAAAAAAATTTCAGACAGCAGCAACTATAATAATACTCCAATAGAAGAAAAACACCATAACACCCATAATTTGATAAATTTGATATTGAAGGTTGTTGTTGTAAATAGTATAGAAGTCCCACATTGTGTATACGTCGTTGTATTTTGTATTTGGTTTTATATATAAATGAAATCTCCTTCGTGTAGTTGACACAAGGATTACAAGGAACACTGTCCTCTGAGTAAAATATTTTTTTTTTCTCCGGAAACAGTCATATCTGTCAGTTTCCGGCTTCCATATATTGTTTCCGGACCTGTCTGAACACTGTCGCCGTCAGGAACCACCGTTGACCGCCGCCCGCCGCCGTTGACCACCGTCTCCGGCGACTTTTCCGGTGAAACACCCACCGTTCTGCTTGCCACAAAGAGGCGGTCCTTTCTGTCCAGGACCCACCTGAAGAATCCAAGCCACGCGCTCTCACGCGCTCGAAACAGCAGTTGCAGCCCGTCTTCTTGCAGCGGCGCCGGTTTGCCATCGGACCACCACAGTTCTCTTCGTCTTCTCCTTGCGCACCTGGATCTGTCCTCACTTTGTGGTTTTGACTTTGTTTCGGCTTCGCACAGTGTCTTTTCCTTGCTGGTTACTATTCACGCGTGTCTCTTTGCTTTCCATTACTGTTCATCTTTGTTTCAGGTGACCTATGGCTGATTTGTCATCACATGATGCATCCAAGGGTTCTCAAAAGCATGACACGCCTGTTTTTACTAATTATGTTAATGTTCCGCTGCACGTCGACAAGTTGGATGGCTCCAATTATGATTCTTGGGCTTCTGATCTCCGACTTTGGCTTGATGGACAGGACTACACTGACCATCACATTATTAAGGCTGAGTCCATCTCGGTAGATGTACGCCCTCATTGGAAAAAGGTTGATGCTCAGTTATGTAGCATCATCAAGTCTACCATCCACCCGTCCTTGAAGCAGATTTTTCGTGCTCACGTCACTTGTGAGTCTGTTTGGCGTCAGGCCAAGTCACTTTATACCAATGACACTCAGCGACTCTATGGTGTTTGTCAAAATTTGATCACTACTATTGCTGCTCAACAACTTGATGTCTCTATGTCTGCTTACTTGGGAAAAGTTCAGGGCCTCCTTCATGATTTCAATGAACTGTTGCCGCCTGCTACAGATCCTGCTACAGAACTTGAGCAACGCAACACGTTCTTCATGCTCATGGCTCTTTATGGTTTGCCCCCGGAATACTCTGTCAACCGGGATCAGATCTTGGGCTCTACTACTGTTCCATCGCTGGACTCTGTTTGGTCTACGTTGCTTCTAATTCCACCTAAGACTGCTATGGAGCCTGCAGTATCTGCTCCCTCTTCAATTGACCCATCTGCTCTTGTCTCCAAAGGTTATGCACGTGGATGCAAACCCTCTACGAGACGCTTTCTCTGCACTCATTGCAACAAGCCAGGCCATACTATTGATCATTGCTGGGATCTTCACGGTCGCATCCTCGCTCCGCTCATTTTGCACAGAGTGTTGCTCCTGCCTCGGACTCCGCTTTGATTGCTGGACCACAGCCACCTCCGTCTGTTCTCACTGACTTCTTGCAATGGTATGAAGGGAAGCGTCCTCCTGGTACCACTGCCTCTGGTGCACACACGGGTAATTCCTTTGCTGGTGTTTCTCACTCGCCCTCTCTTGGTCCATGGATTCTCGATTCTGGTGCATCTGACCATATTTCTGGTAATAAGTCTTTATTTACCTTTCTCTGTACGTCTGGTCCCCTGCCCAGTATCACTATGACTAATGGGTCACTGGTTCAGTCCCAAGGGATTGGTACTGTTTTCCTTTTTCCTTCTATTCCCATTAAGAATGTGCTTTATATTCCTCATTCTCCTTTCAACCTTATTTCCATTAGTCGCTTGACTCAATCCCTTGATTGTATTATTTCTTTCACTAAAGAGTCTGTCATTTTGCAGGATCGGATCTCGAGGAGGACACTTGGCGTCGGATCTGAGTCCAATGGCCTTTATCAGCTTTCCACTTCTGTCCCAGTGTGCTCTGCTGTGGATTCTCCGCTTACTATCCATGCTCAGTTGGGTCATCCAAGTCTTGCTAAGCTCCAGAAGATGGTCTCACGTTTCTCAAAATTATCTAGTTTGTCTTGTGAGTCATGTCAGTTAGGGAAACACACTCGTAGTTCGTTTCCCGATCGTGTCAGTCGTCGGTCTTCGTCTCCTTTTGCTTTAGTTCATTCAGATATTTGGGGTCCTAGTCGTACCGTTTCCACTATGGGGTACAAATATTTTGTAACTTTTATTGATGATTATTCTCGATGTACTTGGTTATTTTTAATGAAAAATCGGTCTGAATTGTTTTCTATTTTCAACAAGTTCTTTAATGAAATCCTTACTCAATTTGGTGTTTCCATTCGCATTTTTCGAAGTGATAATGCTCGTGAATATTTGTCTCATCAGTTTCAAACCTTCTTTGCGTCTCACGGCATCCTTCACCCGACATCATGTTCACACACCCCTCAACAAAATGGGGTTGCTGAACGCAAGAACCGTCACCTAATTGAGACTACTCGGACACTTTTGTTACATAGTCATATCCCCTTCCAGTATTGGGGCGATGTTGTCCTCACAGCTTGTTATCTCATTAATCGCATGCCTTCCTCCGTACTAAATAACTAGGTACCACATTCTGTGTTGTTTCCCCATCAACCTTTGTACCCACTCACTCTTCACATCTTTGGTTCTACTTGTTTTGTCCACAATCTCAGTCCTGGTCTTGACAAGTTATCTGCTAAGTCACATAAATGTATTTTCCTGGGTTACCCTCGCTCACAAAAGGATTATCGTTGTTACTCTCCCAGTCTTCGTCGTTACTTTGTCTCGACGGATGTTACATTCTTTGAGTCTATCCCATTCTTTGACTCCTCCTCCTTTCCCAGTGATTCTGTTGCTACTCAGCTACCTTTACCCCCTGTTTCAGTTCAATATATACCTTCACCATCTCCTTCTTTAGATGTCCCCGTCCATGTTCCCCCCCTCCAGGTCTATCATCGTCGGCAACGTCCACATGTTCCCCAGGACCCTGCCCCCCAAGACCCTGCCCCTATTGTTACTGAGGCTCCTGTGGACTCACTTCCGTCATCATGTCCTCTGGAAGCTCTGATCCTTCCGTCTGACATTGATGTACCCATTGCACTCCGAAAAGGTACTCGTGATTCTCGTCCCCCTCCCAGGTATTTAATAAATTTGAGCTATCATCGTCTTTCACCATTCCATTTTGCTTGCCTCTCTTCTCTTTCTTCTGTATCTGTTCTTAAGACTACAGGTGATGCCTTATCACATTCTGGATGGCGACAGGCCATGATTGATGAGATGAGTGCACTTCAGAGCAGTGGTACCTGGGATCTGGTTCCCCTTCTCTCTGGGAAGTCTGTTGTTGGCTGTCGATGGATATACACGGTTAAAGTTGGTGCTGATGGTCAGGTGGACCGTCTCAAGGCCCGCTTGGTGGCTAAAGGTTATACTCAGGTATTTGGCCTCGACTATGGTGACACATTTTCTCCCGTGGCGAAAATGACTTCTGTTCGCCTCTTTATTACTATGGTAGCCATTCATCACTGGCCTATGTATCAGCTGGACATAAAGAATGCTTTCCTCCATGGTGATCTGCGGGAAGAGGTTTATATGGAGCAACCTCCTGGGTTTGTTGCTCAGGGGGAGTCTAACCTAGTTTGTCGTCTCCGGAAATCCTTGTATGGTCTCAAGCAATCTCCCCGGGCCTTGTTTAGAAGGTTTAGCACTGTTGTACAGCAGTTTGGCATGACTCGAAGTGATGCTGATCACTCAGTCTTTTATAGACACTCTGATTCAGGTTCTATTTATTTGGTAGTATATGTTGATGATATCGTCATTACAGGTAATGATACTCATGGCATAACTCAGATAAAACAACATTTGTGCCATCATTTTCAAACAAAGGACCTTGGAAGACTCCGATATTTTTTAGGAATAGAAGTGGCCCAATCCAAAGATGGCATTGTACTATCACAGAGAAAATATGCTATGGATATTCTTGAGGAGACAGCACTGTTGAATGTTAAGCCCGTCGATACTCCTATGGATCCAAATGTCAAGCTTTTGCCAAATCAGGGGGAGCTATTTTCTGATCCAGAAAGGTATAGAAGATTGGTTGGGAAACTGAACTATCTCACAGTTACTCGACCAGACATTTCCTTTGCAGTCAGTGTAGTAAGTCAGTTCTTGAATTCTCCCTGTGAAGATCACTGGAACGCAGTAATCCGTATCCTCAAGTACATCAAGACTGCTCCTGGCAAAGGTCTTCTCTATGAAAACAAGGGTCATACCAGAGTTGTAGGATACTCAGATGCTGATTGGGCAGGTTCTCCTATTGATAGAAGATCCACCTCTGGGTATTGTGTATTCGTTGGAGATAACTTGATTTCCTGGAGAAGTAAGAAACAAAGTGTAGTTGCTAGATCAAGTGCTGAAGCAGAATATCGCTCCATGGCCACAGCACAGCTACCTGTGAACTCATCTGGTTAAAACAACTACTGAAAGAACTCAAGTTTGGAGACACTGGCCCAGTATATCTCATTTGTGATAATCAAGCTGCTTTGCATATTGCTTCAAATCCAGTGTTTCATGAAAGGACTAAGCACATTGAGATAGATTGTCATTTCCTTAGAGAAAAGGTTCTCTCAGGAGATATAGTCACTCGTTTTATCAACTCCAATGATCAATTAGCTGATGTATTCACTAGGTCTTTGAGAGGACCTAGGATAGACCAGATATGTAACAAGCTTGGTGCATACGATCTATATGCTCCAGCTTGAGGGGGAGTGTTGCTGTAAATAGTATAGAAGTCCCACATTGTGTATACGTCGTTGTATTTTCTATTTGGTTTTATATATAAATGAAATCTCCTTCGTGTAGTTGACACAAGGATTACAATGAATACCTCTTGTTTCTTGATAGTTAACAAAGGTAAACTGAGAAGGCCTATAAATTATTAAAAAAAAAACAAAGGGCAACAGACAAGCTTGCATGGTCTTGTGTTTAATTAATGAAAATTGCTCAGTCATCCTTAAACACCAAATATTACTTCCCTTAGTTTTTGCGTACAAGATTTCTTCTTGATGATACTCAGGTGATAGAAGATATATCTGGAGTCATCAACTGAATGATTGTGATTTCACCAAAACGCAAGGGAAGTGGCTGTTTGAAACAAGAGAGTTCCTGATCCACATGTTGCATTGAAGGTCTGGACTTTGGTTTGGAACACAAACATGCCAATGCTAGTGTTACCACAAGCACTATATCTTGCTCATCCTTTTGAGAGAAAGGAAGGGGAAGACGTGAGTCCAAGATATCCTTCAACAACATATTATGAGTAGATGAGTTTGATAAAGATGAGATTAGCTCTCCTGGATGTCTTCCCATTAATGTTTCTAATGCTACCACTCCAAAACTGTAAACATCACATTTTTCTGTCACAGTCAATGTGTAGGCAAGCTCTGTAATAGACCAAGAAATCAAGAAAGTTAATTTTTTATGCAACATACTAAAATAAATTTAGAGAATTTATAAATAGATTTTCTTATCTAAGAAAAAAAAATCAAACATCACCTGGGGCAATATACCCGTATGTGCCAACTACTAAGGTTTGATTTGAAGAATCAGGATCAAGGAGTCTAGCTGTGCCAAAATCTGAGACATAAGCCTCCAATTGTGTGTTCAACAAAACATTGCTACTTGATACATCCCGATGAACAATTGGCGGGGTACAATCATGATGCATGTAGGACAAAGCATGTGTCATTTCTCTAATGATATTCACCCTCTTACTCCAATTCAGTTCCTCAGCTTCCACACCGTTGCTTAAGACATGCACTAAGCTACCTCTTTCCATGTATTGATAGACCAAAAACATGCATCGATTGTGGAGGCAAAAGCCATAAAGCTTTACAATGTTTCTATGACGGATTTCGGTTAACACCTTGACCTCATTGCGAAAACTCTTGTCAAAAGATGGATTTTGAGATTCCAATTGGTGGAGTTTCTTCAATGCAACAATCTTGCCACTCGGCAGTTGTGCTCTATAGACACTACCATATGCACCAGTTCCAATGCAGTGCTTGATGTGAAAGTCCTCAGTTGCTTCAATGATGTCTTCGAATGCAATTTTACCATCATAGTTCCATATAGAAAACAAGTCTCCATTCTTTGTTGATCTTCCTTCAAATTTGATCTTAGAAGTACATCTTGTGAAATATAATGTTGAAAGAAGTACAAGAATAATGAAACAAATGATAGGAAGAGAAATTAGAATGAAATGTTTAGCTTTACTAGTGCCATGATTGGTTTGGTGGACAGAATGACAGAATGTGAAATTTGGTGTGTTGTAACCGATCAATGAGTCTTCTTTGAAATGACAATAATCTGGTGATTGTGACTCAGAATCAAGATCTCTTGAGAAGTCAAAGGAATTGTATGAAAGATTTATATCTCCTATAACAGCAAGTTCCTTGTGTAGTTTACCTGTGAAATCATTATAACTAAGATCCAACTCTTCTATCAAAGAATTTCTTCCCAAATCATATGGAACCTCACCATTGAGAAAATTGTGGCTAAGGTTAAGGTTAGAAACACAACTAATTTGGGAAGTGATGCTTCCATTTAACAAGTTGCAGCTTAAATTCACTGATTTGTAAGTGGGAGCAAAGGGGGAACAGATTAGGATAGGAGATGGGATAGACCCAGAAAGTATATTGTGGGAAAGGTCTAGATTTGAAAGACTGATAGCATTCACATTCTCTGATGGTATTGAACCATGCAATTGATTTGATGAGACAGACAAAGAATGCAAGTTTGCCATTTGAAAAAGTTTTGGAGGTATAACACTGGAGATCCTATTATTTGAAAGAAATAATCCCTCTAGATTGGACAAATTCCCTAGTTCTATTGGTATGGTGCCTTCAATTTGGTTAGAACCAAGGAACAAATGGACCAAATTCTTCAAGTGACCCAAAGAAGAGGGGATTGAACCAGTGAGTGAATTTTGTGAAAGATATAATTCCTTTAAACTAGACAAATTCCCCAGTTCTAGTGGTATACGACCTTCAATTTGATTAGAACAAAGGTCAAGATGAGTCAAATTCTTCAACTGACCCAAAGTAGAAGGGATTGAACCAACAAGTAAATTATTTGAAATATATAATTCCTCTAAATTGGACAAATTCCCTAATTCTACTGGTATAAGGCCTTCAATTTGGTTGAATCGAAGGCAGAGATTGACCAAATTCTTCAATTGACCCAAAGAAGAAGGGATAAAACCACTAAGAGAATTGTCTGAAAGATAAAGGTTCTCAAGTTGTGTGAGATTTGAAAGTGCTTTAGGAAGCTTACCTTGAAGATGATTATAGGAGAGGTCAAGATAGGCAAGCTTTGAAAGTGCAGCTATCTCTTTGGCAATACTTCCTCTAAGTTGCATCCCATTAAGGTCTAGACGGATTAAATTGAGGAAGGAAATCAACTTCAAGTTCTGAAACCGCCGCAATTCAAATGGAATAGTATGCGAATCTGAAATCTCTATAATGCTTCCAGCTTCATTACAAATGATACCAGTCCAATTACAATGGTTTGAGACATTTTGGTCATGATTCCACCAACCACTTTGAACCAAAGCCTGTCGCTCCTGATTTATGGATGAAGAATTAGAAGATATAACAGATGGAAGGAACAACACATAAGAGGTTGTGCCAAAGATGAGTGTCAATACTAATAAACTGCAACCACTGTTTTCCATGCTTAATTCAAATTTGAATATTATGTTTCAAGTAACGATGAACTTGTTTTTATATATATCTATATATATGACAGTGGCCAGTGTGGAAATTATGAATTCAGTTTGAAGTTTTGTTCCAACTTTTTCCAAGGAAAGTAACTTGTTGAGGACAATGGACTACCAAATACACGCTTTTGAACAAAGGAATTCTGAAATTATTTGGTTGAAGATTCAATGAACATGTGAGATGTAAACAAGGAATCTACACCGATGACTTGTGAGGTTGACACAGCCGTGTTCTGCCCTCTGTCCCCACTATAAGACTATGATTTTTACCACACCAAAAACACTCTTCCTTCACTCCCATGGACAACATTACCTCAACATTGTGGAATGTATTGGCTCACAGGAGCAAAGCTTATGTTTACGGGGATAATGATTTTGAGATCGCGCATTGCATACCACCAAAAGGTCACCTTCCTCCCCATAAATATACCCCCTTAAGTGGCTATAATCTGAAAGAGTTATTAGTGTTAGAAATATCTTATAAAACCATGTATCTTTATTTTGTGTTTGAATGTAACATTTGAAATAAAAAAAAACGCTTTGTAGTATTTGAATGTAGTATTTTTTAAGTACAAAAGTTGTTTTGAGTGTTAAAATAGATAAAAAAAAAAAACACTTTGGCATGAATGGATAAAAGTCAATTTAGATGATTTTAGTGCCCGAGGAGGAACACCTACACGTTGTAGTGGAAAACATACACCCTGGCAGATGGATCATTCATTGGCTTTGCTAGGAAATTCGCTTACAGTAAAGGTTTGGGGACATCTCATAGGCTTACAAGTTGCTTGGGACATAGGCTTCAGGAAGGTCTGTATAGAAGGTGACTCAAAAGTAGCATTAGATGTTGCATGGTTGTAGAGAGAATCACCCTTTGATCTATTAGTCTGGTTAATCGCGCTTGGGACTTCCTACAAAGATCTTGGTACTTGGTAGGTTGTGGTCACACACTCTTACAGGGAGGGGAATGGGGTGGCACACTAATAATCAAAACTCAAAACTTGGACACTCAATTTATAACAACCCACACCCAGCTAATAACAAGTAAGTGAATATGAGAATGTGCTACGGCGTGTAATAGTCGCTATAGCAGTTCTGCAAAAATCTATATTATTAAGTGATTAATGGGTATTGATGACAAGTAAATCACGGAATGAATATGATAATATCAACAAAGAGTAACTTGGTGATATGAATGGTAAAATTTAATTAAGCATATGATTTAGAGTATTTAAACATTTTTTGCGAAAAAATGTGAATGGTATATGGTGCGCGGTACCTTTACCTTATATTATATTTAGGGGTTTAGAGAGAGTATATTTTTAAAGGAGACAAACGTGTATCCTTTTAACGATTAAAACAACGTGCATGATAAGAGAATTTGTGAATTTCAAAGAATTTGATGATCCAGGCAATTTATACGGAGACGGTGATTTGGATTGTGAATCAAACAGTTTGATACCATGGAGATGGTATGTGTGGAAATGGCGGTATAATTTCACACACATATACATATATATGGGTTAAACCGATGTCACGTGACTTGACACAAGATTTTGTTCGGTCAAAAAATTATAACTATATATTCTGAAGAGTACATAATTATGATATTAAAGTTTTTTTTTTTTTTTTTTCTCTCTTCAGATATTTAATTATGTATTCTGGGGACTTTTATTTACAATACAATAGTGTCTTTACTAATTTTTTTTCCAAAAAATTAGAAAATCACTATTAAATATGAAAAAATATTTAATAAATAGAATCCTATACATACAAACACTGTCACTATCAGCATACTTCTACTATCAACAAGGCATAGACATCTCCTATGTTCCAAAACAATGTCCATGATATTACTTACATAATTACATTACCACAAGCACTATCTATGCCTTGAGCGTCGTTTGAAGAGAAAGAAAAGGCAGACGTGACATCTAAGAGATCCTTCACCAACAAATTTTGAGTAGATGAGTTTGATAAAGATGAGATTTGATCTTGCAGATGCCTTCCCATTAATATTTCTAATGCCATCACTCAAAACTGTAAACATCACATTTTTCTATCACAGTCAATGTATAAGTGAGCTCTGTAATAGGCCAAGAAATCAAGAAAGTGAACTTTTTATACCATATAATCAAATCAATTTACAGAAGTCATAAATATATTTTCTTATTAAAAAAAATTCACCTGGGGCAAAATCAGGTTAGGGAGTATATTTTAAGCATAAAAAATGCGGCTGTCCAGCATAAGTATTACAAGAAAAAGAAAATGGAAAATAATTTTCGTAGGAAAATAGTTATTTTATGTTGTAGAAACAAGATTGCAAGTGGTACCCATAGGTAAAAGGAGAGAGAGAAAAAAGAAGTGGGACCCACCCATCTTTTGTGTGCGTAAGAAATTTAGTTATTTCATGCAAAATGAGATAAATATAACCCAAAGAAAATTAGTGCAATACATATTGAAATTTAAAACTAAATGAAGAATCAGTGACAGAAAAAACATCAAAATATGTCAAACATAGTTCTAACTTCTAAACGACTAAAGATGGTTTCATGCATAGGAACTTCACAAAATAGGGTAAAGTGTGTATCATTTTAAAGGATGTAAAGTTGTGTCATTTTAAGAGAGAAAAAGAGATAGATAAATGAGTTGAGAGTAGACAAAAAAATATAAAAGTGTGGGTCCACCTCTTTGTGTGAGAGTGAAATGATATAAATTGTGTTATTTAAAAGGACAAACATTTTTTCCCACAAAATATTAGTCTTTCTACTTCCAGAAATTTGATGATAATTTTGCTTTTATTGAACCTGATGTTTTGGAACAAAACATATTTAATGAGTTTACCTACAAAAATTTCAAATAATTTTTTTAAGCTTTTCATATGCATCTGGAGACAAGTTTTATTGAAGGACCAAGTAATTAGAAGAAAACTTTACCGCAATATCATGACCTGAGCTAGTTCAGAAATCTGAAGCAAAGAGCAATGACCAGCCAATAGGCCTTTGGCCTAGTAGTGAGTGGCCCTGTCTATGAACAATTTCTTCTCCCATTTTCATGGGTTCACTACCGCCTCCACCAAAGCAAGAAAGGCAGAACAATAATCTATCTGTGTCTGATGTATTACCTGTATATAATTTATATTAAACTGTAGCCAGGAAGTTTAAAGGAAATTCTCTTATCTATCATTTCCCTTAACCTCTCAGCATCATTAAATCTCCCAACACCAACAAGAATATTGGACATAAGAACATAATCCCCACCATGTCCTCTCTCCAACTCCTGTATTTTCCGGGTCACTCTCTGGCCAATTTCAACATTATTATGAATACTACAAGCGCCTAGAAGCGCCCTCCACATCACAGCATTGGCAACCTCATGAGGCACCTGTAAAGCAACCTTTTCCGCTTCTTCTAACCTCCCGGCCCTCGCGAGCACATCTATCATACAACCATAGTGCTTGATATCTGGCACAAGCTGATAATCTTTCACCATTTTAGTGAAAAACTTGAGCCCCTCCTCCACCAATCCTCCATGACTACAGGCACTTAAAACACTGAGGAATGCCACTCGATTTGGCCTTATCCCAGCCTTCTCCATCTTTTCAAAATTCTCTACAGCTTCCCTCCCCATCCCATTCATTGCAAAACCGGAGATAGCTGAATTCCACGACACCAAATTCTTCCTCTGGTCAGGTATCTCCTGGAAGAATCTAATTGCACTCACTATGCATCCACACTTTGCATACAAATGTATAAGTGCATTTGTAATGCGTATATCAAAGGCATTGAACCCTCTCTTCTCTGCATAGCCATGAACTGACTGACATATCTTAATATACCCAAGATTCGCAATCGCCGGAAAAATGGTCAAAAGAGTTACTTCAGTAGGTACTATACCATCAACTTCAACCATTTTCCTAAACAAAATCAATGCCTTCGTAGGCTGATTCATGCGGGTGTATCCATCAATAACAACAGTCCATGAGACCACACTCCGAGCCGGCATCTGATCAAACACAGAACAAGCAAGTTCAACCTCACCCCATTTAATCAAACCAGTAATGAAAACATTCCAAGTAACAACATTTCTGTGCGGCATTTCGTAGAACACCTTAGCTGCTTCGACTAAGAGACCCCAAGTTGAGTACAAACGAAGCAACCCAGTTTGCACGTAGACGTGAAACTGAAAACCCACCTTGAAAACGAGGGCGTGAAGCTGAATCCCAAAATGGGTGCAGTTTGAGTTAGCACAAGAGTGGAAAAGGAATGCAAATGCAAAGGTGTCAAGTGAAGGGTATGTCAAGAAAGTGTTGCAATGCTGAGTGTATCTACAGAACTGAAGAGCTTCTTGGGGGAAGGGACCAAGGGAGTAACAACGGATCATGTTGTTGAAGAGGAGTAAACAAGTGTGGGTGTTGTAAAAAGGGTAGTGAAAGAGCCCAGAGGTGATGATATGAGAGTGGACTTGTTGAATAGCTTGGCGTTGAGATGGGTCTTTGAGAAGAAGGGAAAGCAAGTGCTGTGGATGCTTGGGTTTGGGAGAGCATGGAGGAGCAGTAGTTTTAGGATATGAAAAATGGTGGAGGGTTTGGTCAGAGATGGTGGCAATGGTGGCTATGGCTGCTACACTAGCTGAGACATGGTTCCTTAACTTCAAGTATGACATAGTAAGTGGAACCATGCAATGCCCAAGGTCTATTGTTTTTCGTTCACAACACTATAGTCACACATGTAACATAACCAATATAAATATAAATATTAATATTGATTTTTATTTTGGGTAGATATTATCATGTGTCTAAAGTCCTAATAAATTTAATTAATTTGTTTTTGGACATGTGTCTTCTCATATAACATAACTAATATAAATATGAAAAAAGTATTTATCATTTTAAATGACATAAAATTATATTATTTTTAATAAAATTACATCGTTTTTTGTGTGTTTTGTCATTTTCTTTTTTTTATGAAATTAGGAAGAAAAAGAAAGTAGAGGAAAGAGAATGTAAAATCACACCAAAACAGAGATTAGATCCTCTCATACAAAAAAAAAAAAAAATGATCATGTCGTCATGTTATTTAATCACAATCACTTATTGATGATGAGATAAGAAAGAGAAATCTCACCAAAGCGACATAGTTTAATTAAAAATGGCATAACTTTACGTCATTTAAAATGACAAATAATTTTGTCTATAAATATTAATATTAATTTTATTTTTTGTTTGTAGATAAGAGCTGATATATGAAATTGTAATAGACTGATTAATTTAATTTTGGGTTTGAGTCTCCCCGTATAACATAATCAATGTAAATATTAATTGCTGATTCTCAAAAATCGAATCCATTATTCATTGTTTTCGTAAAATCCTTGGGTCTAAGTGAATTATTAACATTGATTTTACTTCAAACTAATTAGATGTATTTCTATATCTTGTTTTCACATAATTATATTACGTGAAAGATTTTATTCATTCACAAATTAATAATTATAATTTTGATGAAGGAATTTAAAAAAAAAAATTATCAATTTAAATGTTAACCATTGATCTATTATGTCACTCTCCACCTAATATGATAATTTGAAAATAAAATTAGAGGATCCACTCTAACAGTAAATATGTTTTCTTTTATTTTTGCACGCGGCCTTTTTTTTTATTCGAATTATGATTTTTCATTTATATTTAGAATATACTGTTGGGCCCAATAAAACGAGCTCGGGTATGGGCTTTTATGAAAAGGTCCGTGTGATATGAGAGAAGCAAAACGACGACGTTTAAATGTGTTTCGTGTTTGCAAAGACAAGATCTGAATTGTGAAGAGTGAAAGACTAGAAAGAAAGGGAAAAACAAAACAAAACCACGCCCTAGTTCTTCTTCTTCTTCTTCGTTCGCACTGTTCTTCACTCTCATCCACCATGACCAAGCAACAAGCTAATTGGTCTCCATATGATAACAATGGAGGGTACTCTCTCTCTCTCTCTCTCTCTCTCTTTCTATTCTGTGTTCGTTGACGGAGTATTTTTTTATTTTATTTTTTAATATTTTTTTATATTGTAGATCTTGTGTTGCAATTGCTGGTGCGGATTACTGTGTGATCGCCGCGGATACGAGGATGTCGACAGGTTACAACATCCTCACTCGCGAATACTCAAAAATCTCCCAACTGTACGCTAATTTATTTTTATCGTTCACTGATTGAAGTTTTTTAATTTCGTTGAAATTTAATTGGGTTTGATTATTATTGGACAAGAGTCAATTTTTTTTTGTTTCGTGTTTGTGTTTTCTTTTAAGGATTTTAACTGTGTTATATGTTTGGTGTTTTATGTTGTGACAGTGCTGACAAAAGTGTGATGGCTTCTTCTGGTTTTCAAGCTGATGTAAAAGCTTTGCAAAAGGTTTTGTCTGCTAGGCATTTGGTGAGTCAAAGAATTCTCAACACTAGTTGTAACATTCAAATACTATTTAACTTGCAAATTCTTTCAGGTTGGGTTAGCATGTTAGCAACTACACTCTTATGTTTAATCTTTGAGTATATGTCCTGTCTGCAAGTTTCTTTATTTTTGTTACTATTTATTAGATCGTTGGATAGTTCTGTTCCTTTTAAGTTGGAAAAAGAGTTTTGCTCGGTTCCAATTTGTTTTCATCCTCCCTTGTGTGTAACATAACTGGTGTAGAACGATAGAACAATAATCTTAGAGTGCTCCTCTGCTTTGAAGAAACAAAAATTTCAATATTATCAGTTATGCAAAAAAGTTTTTGTAGCCATGTGATATGGAAGTCACAGATTCAATTCATTTAATCAGCCTTTTGTAAATGCAAGGTAAGACTGCCTACCCTTCTCTAGACCTTACGCAGAGCATGAGCTTTAGATTAGAGCACGGGGTTGCCCTTTATGCAAAAAAGTTGTTGAATGTTTACACAGATTGGTCTATTTATTTAGACCCAAAATAAGAAATTTTAATGTAATTACTAATTACCCTATTTTAAGCTGGAATAGGATAATCTAAAATAGAATGAAACCCCTAAATAACAAATAAACCCAAATTGAAACTAATTTTCAAATTAAAATCCGAAATTGAATACCAAAATAATCTGCATCGGTGACTTTCTTCAATTGTTAAGAGTTGAAGAAGTATATTGCAACTGCTTGTAGTGCATCATAAAGTGAAATGAAGATGGTAGGGAATAGTTTGACATTTGTTGGTTGTATGGAAGTTTTGTTCTTTTTATTGTACCGTGAAAGAATAATTGTTCTTCTCTGCAGTCTGCACATATAATTATATATTCATAATTGTTAAGAAAAATGTCTGAGAAAGATAAAAAGCATACTTTAGCAAATTTTAATTGTTAGACTTTCCATTGTATGTTTATCTTTTTATGAAAAATTACTTTGCAGTGTAATGTCTCTCTGAACTGTTTCCCATTTGCATTTTGATATGCATGAATATAAAATCTCATTAGTAGAATGATGTGCTTGATTCTGATACTAATTGTGTAAATTATTAGAGCTTCTAGTCTTTTTATGAATGTATATCACCTGATTAATTATATTGTTAGATGTTAGTTATAAATCTGGGAAACTGTAGTATTGAACTCAAATTGTTCTGTTTCTCTGGCTCCCTTATTTTAAATTTACCATGGATCTGGTATGATATTCTTGTTTGATTCTGTATGCAGATATATCAGCATCAACACAACAAGCAAATGAGCTGCCCTGCGATGGCTCAGTTGCTTTCAAACACCCTTTATTACAAACGCTTCTTTCCTTATTATGCTTTCAATGTTTTGGGTGGCCTTGACAATGAAGGTGCACTATTTCTAGCCTTTTGTGCAATGTTCATGTCCCATTTTATATTTGCTAATTGCTACTTCAACCTGAAATAGGAAAGGGATGTGTCTTCACATATGATGCTGTTGGTTCCTATGAGAGGGTTGGATATAGCTCTCAGGGCTCTGGATCCACACTCATTATGCCATTTCTTGATAACCAACTGAAGTCTCCTAGCCCACTCCTATTACCAGCCCAGGTGAAGTTCTCAAACTGTTGCTTTGCTTGAAATATTTGATTCTTCGAATTTCCTTGGACTGACACCTACATTAAAAATATGATTTCTTGCAGGATGCTGTCACTCCACTGTCTGAAACAGAAGCAGTGGATCTGGTCAAAACTGTTTTTGCATCTGCAACTGAGAGAGATATATACACTGTAAGTTTGTGTTTCATACTTGATTGCCATTTGACAGTAGGATAAACTTGTAACCTATTGTGGATGTTTTTACAGGGAGATAAGCTTGAAGTTGTCATCCTAAATGCTAGTGGCATTCGTCGTGAGTACATGGACCTAAGGAGAGACTAATATGTTTTTACTCAGAAATTTATTGTTGGAGATGCCAGACTGGGATTGAGAATGTTTGGAATGTTCCTGTAATTTTATATGTCGTGGTGGGTTTTTCCCATGAGGCAAAATTAGGAATAGCGTTTCCAGTGAAACCAATTTGAACCAATGCTAGTCTGTTCACACTAAAACTAGACTGTGTTTTTAATTTGCATTGGATGTTATCCGAGTATTTTTCTTAGCTTTATTCAAGTCTACTGTGTTGAAGAGCTTATAAAATTTGGTCATTTTATCTCTAGCGAAATCCGCTTCTGCTCTGCAACTAGTGTTTTTGTAATCTGAAATCTGAATTGTTAAGTGTGTCCTTACAAATTTAATATGGCAGAAATTATGCATTTCAAATTAGTGAAAGAGTAAAGAAGTGGACCGATAAATGAACTTCCAGAATATATAGGGATGTATCTTCATTTCATCCCTTACCCAAGAGTTGAAGTATTATTCTCACTGAATGATTTCCACAATACTAATAATCAAAGAAATGTTTTCTTTCAATGATTAATTGAGTTTTGTAGTCCAATATAAAATTATTTAAGGTTACAAAACATATGCAACAATAGCTGCGAGAAGTCAATCGGTTATAGTTGCTTAAATGCTGATGTAATTTCTGCACAGGTAAAATCATATCGTGTCTTGTGATGCCCATCCTTTTTTCTCCAATTCTTGTCGCAGTGCCTGTCACCAAGTAAGATGTTTTTATCACATAAATATGTGAAGATGGGATTCTTCTTCCAAAGTAAATAATCTTTTTCTTGTACCAAAAAAATGTCTCATTTCTTTATATCAACTTGCTTAGTTTCTCTTAACAGTTTTTAAATAAATTTATGTTCAGTTCAAATAAGTGATTAATTTAGAATGAAAATAGTTAATTGCGATGCACACTTAATTAATCACATAAAAACTTAAATTAAAAAGATTTTTACATATGAAGGAAGAGGGAGCATTACCCTGAAACAAAGAATTTTTTAATTTAACCAAAGCTAAATCACAGATGAGTTATGAAATTTTACCTTGATTCTTTTTCTATTCACGTCAAAATCAAAGTTTCCCAACCGGGATGCAGATCGATACTCCACAGTTGAACCCTTACCAGGTGGGAACCAGAACTCAACATCATCCACAAACTGTTGGCACATCACAGATTTGGGAGGGGGAATTAGAGCCGGTTCTTGATATCATCTAAATGTATTAAGGGGAGGATCAACTTAATATAAAAATAACAAGTCTCACATTTTAATATTGACCATTGATCCTATTGCATATAATACTCTAATTTATTAGCCACGTAAGCAGTTAAATACAATTGAGATCAACGATTAAGATCGGGTGACTTATTAGGGACAATGACAATATTGTCACTTTTTGGGTAAAAATTTACCTGATTGCCACGCCTGAAATTTTTTTTGTCAAAATGCCACGTCACAATCTCGCTGGTCTGACAAGCGGAAATGGACTAGACACGTGTCAACGTCTGAATAGTCAACCATTTTCGCTGGGCTGCCCAGCTAGAATGACAGAATGCTGATACGTGGCAAAAGTACAGGCATTCTCTGGATGTCTGTTCTTTTGCCACGTGTCAGCATTCTGTCATTCTAGCTGTGCAGTCCAACGAGAATGGTTGACCATTCAGACACTGACACGTGTCCAGTCCATTCCCGCTTGTCAGACCAGCGAGATTATGACGTGGCATTTTGGCAAAAAAAATTTCAAACGTGGCAATCAGATAAATTTTTATTAAAGGGTAATGTCTCGACTTATTATTCTTACAAAGATGATAGTTTCATTTTCATGATGGGTTTTCTTAGATATAAGTTACACATACATACCCCCAAGATTGAGCTTTGGTACTCCACTCGAACATAGTCTTCTTTCCTTTCAACTATTCGTGGTGTAAATTTGTCTGGTGTGGTTGATTCTATCTGTAAGATTATCAGGAACTGCTTTTTAGCTTTACTTACAATGATTTGAAAAGTGTACATCACAAGCTATTGCAACACAATTCTAATCGCTGTTAATAGCCAGAGACAAGGGAAATATAATTGCAATACAGTGGTAAAACTCATGATTTCAATTAGATTGATTACCACTTCTATCAGTTCCTCCATTGCCTCTTCTCTGCTCACACGATTTTTCCTACCTTCAGGGTTATAGTTCCTGTACAATAATTAACAAATTTAAAACAAAGTGATACCGACATACTCATCTATTGTCCAATGAAGTTTGAATTTTGGTTGGACCAAGATAGATAAAAGTTTAAGAATTAAAAAGAAAAAGAAAAGATAGCACTACTTTCACCGACCAATATTTATGCTAAGTGACTAAGTCAATATCCAACAATTTTGCACTGATTTCACGTGGTTCAAAGTTTAAGGGGAAAAAAACAACATATTGGAAATCTAAACATCATACTAAGTCTTCAATGAACAAAAAGATATGTAGCTAATTTATATAATCCCACAAAACCAAGCTTAAAATTAAAATGAGGAAAAGAAGTGAATTTTACCAAGGAGGAGCATAATGGATGGAATCATTGATATTCTCAGAGGTAGATACACAGTTCTTAGTTGCTGGACACAAAGCCAACGCTGCTGGGTTTTTCTGCACTCCAAGATAATTAGGCTTTTTCCCACTACACCAAAAGACAAAAACACAAACCCAACTTTCTTTTTTTACCATTAATCTCCAATAGAAATCAAAAGGTCCTTAATGCTGACTGACCCTTAATTACTTATCATTCATCAAGTAATAACACAAATCTTGAATTTTTAAAAAAAAATTAATCCAAATTTACATTCAAATTAATATAAAAATGTAAATTAGGCAAAAACAGAAAGAGGGTACCTGAAATTGAATATGGCACCAATGGTTGCTAATTCGCTGGTTTTTAATATGAGCTCTCTTGGAGATGAGAAAAAGTTGAAGTGTAAGAGATTTCAGAAGATGGGGCATGAGTAGTTCATAAATTATCATTAGAAATGAGTGAGAGAAAGTGAGAGAGAAACCTTCGGTTGATTTGGTCGGTGGGCATGTCATCCTGTTTCTGAGAGAGTAGAATACGAGGAAGAGAGGAAATATTGTTGGGTTTGGTGTGAAACTTGAGGTTGCAGAAGGTGCTTGAAGATGCCATTGAAGCCATTGTTTGAATGAAGGTACGAGAAAATGAAGGTACCACAGAGCAATGTTACGCATTTTATGAAATGAGATGTAAGAAAAATAAACTAAAAATAAAAATAAAACTCAATGGTGGGTCATGGGTGGGTGGGTGTGGGTCTCTTCTCTTCATTTCCACGCCCATTTTTTCTGGATTTGGAAATTTAGAAAAAAAATAATGTATTGAAATTATTTCACGTAGTGGTCAAATCCGGATGCTAAAAATGGGTTTATTATTTTTTTTTTCTTCTCACACGAGTCTTATACACTTTTATATTTGTGTAGAAGATAAAATTTATCTCCTATAACATCAAAAGATTAACCCCCGCTAAAAATATATGGTAATTATAATCTGCTTTTTGCATAACGAATAAGAGCCCCTTTGATGAGTTTTTTTTTTCTTACAAACGATACTTTTTTTAAGAAAAAAAAGCACTTATTAAAAAAAATATGTTTGAATGTCTACTCTTAAAAAAAAACAAGTCATAAAAAATTCAAAAAATTACTTTTTTTTTAAACTAAAAATTTTAGTTTTTAAAAAAAAACAGAAGTCAAAAGTTAAATATGTTTTTCAAAAATTAATATTTTTTTAAAAATCTAAATAACTTTAATTTTTGTAAAAAATACTTTTAAAATAAATAAGGTATAAAAAGGACTTTTGGGAGAAGTAAATACAAACGGGTTCATTCAGGGTATTCAAAGTGTAAATAAGATATGAGTAATTTTTTAATTATTATAAATTTATCTTTTCCGTTTTATTAAAGAGATTATAAGAAAAAACGTGTTACACGTTATAATTTTAATTTTCTTTATATTTATTTTTCTAGAATCATATCTTTCTTAAAAAATTAATTACTTACATTAGTAAATTTATTATAAATATTTGAACATAAATATTCAACTAATAATATTAAATATTTCATATCTTAACTTGGCATCAGGTTTTAAACCCTAGTTTGTTTTTATTGCAACCGTCATTCTCATTGCGACCTAGCTCTCTTAATTATTGTTTATGTTGTTATTGTGACGAACATCGGAACATGTATAAGAAATGAATGTCTTGAAGAAAAATAAAATATAAAAATAATTTATGGACGAAGAGGAAATAAAATATCGGGATACAAAAGGATTTATATTTTGAAGTATTGGTCAAATGACACAATTGACATCAATGTTATTAAATCTGGATCGGTGATTGACCCGGTCAGGGTACCGGGTCAGTGGATCACTGGTTTAATCAACGGGTCACTGATTCAACCGCATGAACTAGATATGTATATAAATTTATATTTTATGTTTAATTATATAATAAAAATTTTAAATGGTGCAACTGAACCAAGAACCAAATGTAGCTTAGTGATAAATACTACAATTTATATCTTCACAACAAGGGTTTGATTCCCACTAGATGCAAATTTTAAATAATTCTATTAAATGATGCATATTAACCAACAAACAAACTCAGTCCAGTGATAAGTTGTTGTTGAGCATATTCAAGAGACTCGAGTTCAAATCCCGGCTGCAACACAGGAAATATTTACCAAGATTATGATCAATGATGCACCGACACGGGACACGACACGACACTCCGACACGTTAATTCTAAAAAATGCTAAATTTCGACACGTTGGGACACATTTTGATATTAAATAATATTTTTAATATATATAATATAGTTTATATTTAATACATATATCAACTCATAATAAGTCGTATAAATAATCAAATATTCAAATTCTATAACATAAATATGAAACAAAAATAATAGAACATCCCAAGAGTGTAATGTGTAGAGTGTAGACCACTCACAAGTTTAATTATTTTCATCTCCATCTTGAATAATCATGGCCTCTATCTCTGGCTCATCAAATGAAAGACTAGCAAATTAAAAATCTCCAACATCATCAAGTGAATCGAATGTATCTCCAGCAATATCCCACATCTGATTTTCTCCTTGTGCATAACTAGGAGTCTTTCTTGATAAGAGTCGAAGATTGCTATGCACATAAACCAAGTCTTCAGCACGTTTTGGAGTGATTTTATTCCTCTTGATGGAATGCACAAAAGAATAAGTACTCCAATTGCGTTCAGCACATGATGAAGAGGAAGGTTGTTGCACAAGTCTCAATGCTATTTTTTGAAGCATCGGTGTAAAAGTACCATAAAGTAGCCACCAAGATTTCGGATCCATAGTGTATTGAGTATTGATGGCATCAAAATCGCCAAAGGTTCCACTATTGCTAATAAAATCTGCATACTCCAAACTAATCCGGCTTCGGTCCTCCATGCTAGGAAAGAATCTCCTTAAACATTTTTGTCGCTCTTGAGTAAGCTCTAAATCCATGTGTGGAAGAACTCGACTAGAATCTTCCTGAAGCCATTGTTGACTATAGTATCTAAAAGAGAAACAAAAAAAAAATCAAAAAATTGTCAAATTATCTGTGATGAGGAGTATTAATTTTAAACTGAATCATATTTAAAAACTTACTTGGGATTCAAAGCATGTGCCAAACAGTGTAGTGGAGTTGAATTTTTTGTCCAACGATCCACAAGAATGCGATGCACCACATCATAAAAAGAGGAGCTCTCTTCCATCCTCTTCCCCTCTTTATGGTATACAACTTTCTTCACTTTCACAATCATTAAATCCTACATATCATATATCAAGTGAAGACAAGCTCTATCAGTGTCACAAGCTATGATCATATCATAAACAGGAGCAGTGAAGGCAAGTATGTAATCAACTGATTCCCAAAAACAATCATCCAATAATTTTTCCTTCACAAGTCTGGCCCTCCCAAGATTATCATCTCTATAAATATTCCATTTCTCACTTATCACCATGTTTTGGAGACCGCTCTTTATTAACTTGAACCTCTTCAGCATCACAATCATTGAAGCAAAACGAGTATCAGCAATAGAAAGCAACTTCAAACTCACAAACTCATTATAGATGGCCAATCTCATAGAATGATTCATAATGAAATGCTTTATTGCAGCAACATCACCTATAATATCAGAAATCCAGCAGCATTCCTCATACGTTATTTGATTGTTCTCCACATTCTTTGCAGCACAAATATTTTTCACTGCCAAATTTAATGTGTGAACAACACACGGTGTCCAGGTAATAGATGGGAATTCCTGCTCAATCAGTTGCCCTGCTCCCTTACAATTTGCAGCATTATCTGTGATTACTTGAACCACATTCGCCTCTCCTACTTCTTGAATAACTTCCTTCAACAACCTGAAAATAAAATTTTCATCATTAGTCTTTCTCGAGCAAACAAACAAACACACTCAAACAGATTATATAAGAGCAAACGAACAACCTGAAAATGAAATTTTTATCCTTGATCTCCCCCGAGCAATCAACTGATTTTAAAAACATTGCTTTACCATCAGATACTGCCATGAAATTAATGAGTGGCCTCCTTTGTGAATCACTCCACCCATCACTTACAATACTTACTCCCTTATGAGTCCATGCTTCTCGAATAGGTTCACACAACCTATCAATATTTTCTTTCTCCTTTTGCAACAGAGTGGTTCGCAACGCGTTATATCCTGGTGGCAAATAACCTCCAATATTATGATTTGCTGCATAAGTATACGAAGCTTGGAAGTAAGGGTTCTTTGCCAAATTGAATGGCAATCCTGCTGAATAAAACATTCTAGCAATAAGATAATTTAATTCTTCTCGTTCCCCAACATTGAATGCCATCTCAAGAGAACCCATAGTTTTTCTTTTTTTTGGGCCAGTGGAAGAGGTAGAAGGGGGTAACGGTACATTTCTAGGTGCATTAGATTGCTTTCTCTGTTCAGCTTCATGTTCCAATCTCTCCATCTCTATCATGTCTCTATTTTGCACCATTAAGCATTTCCCAATTCCTTTGCCTGATATTTTTAACAAATGAGCCCTCACTCTAGTATACGAACTTTTCTAATCTTTTTTACAAAAGTTGCACTTCCAAGACAAATTCCCGCCTGCTTCCACTCTAGCATCCAATTGGGTAACATATTTCCATAGGAGTTTATCTAGTAATTCATTGGCAGTAGAGACACTAGCAGAGTGGCACTATCACTGCCACTGGCGGAGGCAGAACTTGAACGATCCATATTGTAATCCTGTAAATGTGTTAAACAAATAAAAAGTTATATGATTCATAATTAAGTCCATATATAATACATAAGGTAGATGGAATACCAAGTAATGATAAGGTATATCTGTGTTTTCACATATATTTTAGCAGGTATAATATAATATCTTGGTCTTAATTCTTAAAGAACATAGATGCTAAATCAGTGAAGTACACTTAAAAATTAATAGAAACAAAAGCACACAATTTGACAATAAACTATTCAGTAAAGAATGATAAAGAGTAAAGCATTTAGCCGCCCCACAACTACAATTACAAAGAATCCAATGTACAATTATTTAAACAAAAAAAATAGGAGCACACACATTGCGGTTAGTGATAAATTTAAAATAATTAATAGCCCACTTTCAGTGACAAAAAAAAAACAACAAACTACTTAGTAAACATACACACCCTACTTAGTAATCAAAAATAGTTCAATAAAAAAACATATAAAGCCAACCAAAGTATTCTGTTTTTGTTTTATTATCCATATTCCCTAGTAAACATACACACCCTACCTCCTCTGTTTCAACCAGAATATGATTGCCTTCTTTGCCTTCTTTCCTTCAACTAAATTTCTTATTTTCCCTTCTTCAATTAGGCCCCCACCTCAAGAATACAATTCATTGGTCTTTGACATCAGCACAAGCATTGGAATACCAACATATCTATGAAAAAAATAAATTGTTAGTTATTCTTAAATTTATGAAAAAAATGACTTCTATGTTTTGAAGATGTCTTCAATTATGTACTGCATACTAGTAGCAAATTTATGCTACACCGATGAATATATATATATATATATATATATATATATATATATATATTCATAAGAAAAGATTGTACCGTGTTCACCTTGAGGGGTTGTTAAACTGTTGGGTCCCATCTATTATATATGGCTAAGTTGCTGCCATGGATTGGTGATGACGCATGTTAAGAAGAACATGTTAGGAAATGGGGAAATAGGCACCTGTTAAATTCATGAGGGATGTGTCTTCAAACCCGAATAAAGGGAAAAAAATGAACCGAATTGCATATGTATAAAAATATAATAAAACTAACAAATATTATAAAAAGTAAATAAATCGGAACAGGTCGATCTGAATCATGTGATACAGAAAAATCATAAGAGAGAGAGATAAACCTTGCGAGTATTGTTGGAATGGACAATATGAAGACTAAAGAGATCTGTAGAATATTGAGCGGAACAAATAAACCTTAGAATCGAAAATCATAAGAGAGAGAGATAAAGAAAAGAAGATAGACTCACCCACAAAAAAGTAATTGAGGGGTTGCTACAGAAAAAAGGTACGTTGAGAATGAAGAACACACCTCAAAGAGCATTGACGGACGGCGAGCCGGTGAGGTGAAGAAGAACGATGGAATGGGGTCTGAGTGGTCTGATTTAGGGCTCCAAATTGTTCGACCAAATGTTTTTTTTTGTTTTGTTTTTATTTTGTTTTTATTTTAATTTAATTTTAATTTTATAAAAATTTCAAAATATTTACATTTGTACCCTTTGACCGTGTCCGACACGGTCAAAATCGCATGTCGGGATAGTCAACGTGTCGAAAAAAGTTGACTACGTGTCGGACGCGTGTCGGAGCGTGTCGGAACGTGTCGGTGTCGGACACGTGTCCGACACGCTTTTTTCTCCAGAATTGACGTATCGGTGCTTTGGAGATTATGATGTTATTGGGATGATATAGGCAAAGTTAAAGAAGCTACCATCTCCTTTAGATATTTATATGAGAAAAACTCGTTAACTTTTTGTCTACATTGATGACATCATTATAAGTGAAAGGATCCAATTGAGAAGTGATTATAATATGAAAGGCTAACAACTAAATTTTGAAATTAAAGACCTTGGAATTCTAAGATTACTTTTTGGGAAGAGGTTGCTCACTATAAACAAGGTTTTTTTAATCTGTCAAAGGGATTATGTTCTTGATCTCTCAAAAAAGTTGAAAAACTTGTATAGTTATCTATGTGTTTATTGAGTCAAAAAAACAAAATAGGAAGTCAAAAAGAGGGTCCTAAGGTTGATAAAAAGGTAGTATAAAAGATTGATAGTAAATTTGATATATTTGACTCATATGTGATCAATTTACCATATGCAATCAGCGTTGTTAGTCACTCAATGAACTACCTGAGGGAGAGACATTTGTAAGTCACTGATAGAATTATCAAGCATCTTAAATCTACCTGTGAGATGATTGTTGTTTTGAAAAGGTGAAAACTTATCCTTAAAAGTGTATACTAATGTTGAGCAGGCAGGATCCATTACTACCCAGAGATCAACCTCTCGTTATTATATGCTTCTTTGTGGGAATTTAGTAGCATGGAGTAATAAAAAAGAAAATGAAATGACCAGTTTAAGTAGAAAGACAAAATTCCAAGTTATATAACTCTAGGGGTTTGTAAACGGTTGTGATTGAAAGTAATACTAGGTGACCTTAAAATAAAATGTGAAATAGCTATAAAGTTACGTTGAGATAATAATTGTGGCACTTGCATGGCTCACAATTTAATTCAACATAACATAGTTAAACACATTGAGATCCACGCCACCTAAGCAAATAGAAATTCGATAGTGAATTGATCATTATTCTATATATTTTATTAAGATTTCAATTAGCTGATATATTGATTAAGGGACTCATTATCGAAATATTTCAAGACCTAAGAAAATAATAAATAAATTATAGATTTGATTTGATTTGCATTTATTTTCTAAAATAAGCTCTTTATGAGGAAAATAATTATTAACACAAGAAATATTATTATAACCAGGGGTGTAAATGAGGCAGGTCAATCCAAGCATTAGCCTAAATGGCTTGAGATTATGTAAAATATTTCAAACCTGCATTGACTTGTTACTTTAATAAAAACCAAATTATAAACTTGGTCTAACTTAATTTTAAAAAATATAAGATTTGGCTTGGCCTATTAAGCCTACCAAACCTTCAAAAATGACATATTACTATGTAAAATGTAATTTATAATTATTTATTTATTGTATATGTTTAAGTTGACGGAAAGTCAAAATAATACAATAGTTGAAACCACACCACAACTCAAAAAATTATTTTATTAAAAAATAAAAAGATATTATTTTATTAAAAATCAGATATTATTTATTAAGAAATACAAGTCAAACCTGGAGAATTAGAGGTCAGACTTTCTAAAATAAACTTATAGCCTAATTTCTAAAATGACCTTTTTAATGAGTTTAAACCTATACTAATAAGAAACACCCAACAATAAGGAAAAAAATGTCTGGTGAAAAGGCCAACAGAGTCCTAGAGAGAAGCTCAATGGTGGAGGAGGAAGATGCTCTAACTCGAAGTGTGAAAAAACTCAAAGGGCTAGGAGAACTGAATGATGAGACGATGGATGATGAAATGTTGGACCATACTACGTGTGAAAGTCAAGGTGGAGTGGAAGACAATAGCCATACTCTAGTTTCGAGAGGAGGTTCTGTAGCAACCAAAGAAAAAAAAGTTGGTGTCCTACATAGATAAAGTGCTATATCTGAATGGAGATAGAAATGTATATGAAAGTGAAGATGAAGAGTGGATTGCCAAACAAAAAAAGAAAGAGGATGAAGAGAACATGCTAGAAAAAGTGCACCCTGGTGGGAACGATGACCCATTATGTCCTTCATATGTATTCTTGAGGAGGCAGCATAAGGAAGATTGTAAGAAATGGAGAAATGCATTGATCATAAAATTGATGGGGAAGAAGATCGTTTCACACTTCCTTATATCTAGGCCTCAAAGGCTATGGAACTTAATGAGGGATTACAACCTAGTACAACTTGACATTGGTTACTCCTTGATCAAGTTCAATGACGACATGGACTATTTTCTTGTTCTACATGAAGGTCCATGGATTGTGGTGGACCATTACGTAATAGAGTAAAGGTGGAGACCTTTCTTTGACCCATATGATGAAAAGGTGAAGAAGTTGGCCATATGGCTTAGAATTCCTGGCCTACACATCGAGTTTTATACTATGCAGCACCTTTGGAGATTAGGAACATATTTGGAAAAACACTGAAAGTTGATAATGTAGATACAAGGTATGTTTTGATGATAACACAAAGTGGCAACAACAAAAAGAGAACAACCTTGATCAAGAGCAAAAAACATCATGCCTATGTGAAGATTGAAGATATATGATAAAGTCATATAAGAAGAATGATGAGTCATCAATGTGGCAAAATCAAAGATAATCATTGATGATCAAAGGCAATAAACCATGAACAATATCTAAGAGAAGCTTAATATCACAACCATGGTGAAAAATGATCAAGACCAATAAAATGCCAAGAATTGTCATATCCAATAAGTCAAAACATCAAGTTCAAGTGAGAATCAAGATCCAAAATTGAAAGCAATAAGCTAAGTCTAATTCCTTATTATAATACACTTTTAGGACTTAGATATGGTTTTAAGGGTATATGGTAGATTGTATTGCATGAGCTCAAAGTTTTTCTCAAATTAAACATTTTTTTCAAATTGCATAATCCAAACCTTTTATATACTTGAAAGAAATTTGAAAAATCCATGAAAAATATCCTTGACATGTTTTATAACTTCAAAACATATTTATCAAGTCAAGATCTTTCATAAAAAGTGGTTGGAAAAAAGTTAGAACACATTTGAATTTAAAATTTACTGCATAATTTGATTATTGTCTTCTAAACAAT